ATATATATATATATATATATATATATATATATATAGATATATATATATATATATATATATATATATATATATATATATATTATATATATATATATATATATATATATATATATATATATATATATATATATATATATATATATATATATATATAGTATATATATATATATACTATATATATATATATATATATATATATATATATATATATATATATATATATTATATATATATATATATATATATATATATATATATATATATATATTATATATATATATATATATATATATATATATATATAATATATATATATATATATATATATATATATATATATATATATATATATATATATATATATATATATATATATATATATATGTATATATATATATATATATATATATATATATATATATATATATATATTTTATTACTACTATTTATTTTGCAAAACTATATTCATACTCTCCTTAAATCAAAATCCATCAAACAGTAAACCAAATGTCGGTACTCATCCAAAATAATCGGAAATGTTGGTAACTATGGAAAAAGTGGATCCCGACACTAAAAATCACTTCGTGGCGGCGTTGTCAAGCTATACTTGATTTTTTCATTTTTAATTTTATTTGTTTCCAGCGTCAGTCCTGATGATCGGTTATTTTAAATATCTTAGACTACATTTTTCCCATTACACAAATATGGGCTATTGCTGTTGAGTGTTAAGTGTTTTTTGGTTCAACTTGCATTTCCGAAGTGTCTAGCCTGCTATGGTCAATCTTTGTGTATATCTAATCCATATATTAAGAGAATAGCAATTTCGATTACGTTTTAAAACTACATTACAAACTTGGGGCTTGGGCTTGGGCTTATTTATAGATTATAATTGTCGCAATTAATCACGCTTTTGCCGAAAAAAATGATTTCGCATGCTTCATATTTACGATCAAATAGGTTTCTGTGGGATTGAAGTTTTGTAATAAATACGAACCAAAGTAAATCAACAAAAGGCAAATTAATTTTTTAAAGTTCTTTATTGAACCCATTGCACCTTAAAATGTTATCAATGCATATAATTACAAAATGTACAAGGGAAGCAGTGTATAGGTCGGCATAACAAGAATCAGTCTAGAAATACTAATTAACAAAAATTTCTTAAAATACTATAAACTAGATGCACGTTGAGGAAAGTGTTTCTAGAAATATATTTTAGGAATATTTGATAATCGAATTTCGAAGATTTTTGACGATCTCAGACTTCAGTAATGTCCGTGACCATGAGCTAAAGTTGGTCCCCAAACTCCTTCGGCATGGATTTTGCCAGCGGGTCCGGAGATGGTTGCTGGGACGGCAATGGGTCCAGTTACGTGCACCCCATGATGTCCTGAAAAAGTACGATGTTCAATTCGATATTTGGAAAATATTTACCATCACACGTACCGATTCCAACTCCGGCACCGACGCCATCTCCCAATCCGCGTCCTAATCCACCTCCAAGTCCGATACCGGTTCCGAGGATACCACCATATCCACCAGCAGATCCTGTAAATAGAAAAGTATCTCCACTAAAACATCTCCTTCATTTAAATATCGACCCGGCCCACTATACGTTTCCTAACATTCTTATCGATTTTCTAATTCAATTAAGTTTTTCTTACCCAAAACGGCTACTCCTCCTGCACTAGCACCGATGATATGTGCTCCGCCAACTCTAGGTCCGACAATGGCGGCTCCTTCGGCACGGGGACCGACAATAGTTGCTCCGTGAGTTCGTGGTCCTACGATGGTTGCTCCATGAGTTTGTGGTCCTACAATCGATGCTCCGTGGGTTTGTGGTCCAACAATGGAAGCTCCACGCGTTTCGGGTCCAACGACAGATACTCCGTGAGTAGCGGGTCCAACTAATGTAGCTCCGTGCACTTCAGGTCCCACAATTGACGCACCGTTGTCAATTCCACCTGACAAGAGGACTCCGTGTCCCCCTAAGTCACCCCCAAGGGCCAGACCTACTCCGTGATTCAAAAGAATTCCATGTCCGTGAGGTACAGCGTAGACCGCAGAGAGAGCAGCAAGAGCGATGATCTGAGAGTAATTAAGATAATTAAACTCTATCTTATTGATAAGTGACGTAATAATTTTCAAAATTTATAAACCAAAAATATTACTAATAAATTCAATTTTATGCTGCTTACCAAACGGTTCATTTTTTATTTAGGATGTATTTGACCTGACAACCGAAGTGGACTGTGCCCCGTGACTTAAAAACACCCCATATAAATACTCAGTTTGTTGACCTTGACGTATTTGTTCGAAACAATTTGTGCCGATCAAAAAATACGTTTGCAAGTAATTGTTGAAATAATGGTTTTATTAATATTCAATGAGGCAAAAATTATCCCATATGGTAAGACAGCGGATATTAATTCTCGACCTGCTAATGATACCTTTCTTTGTATATATCAAGATTGGAGTTTTTCTGTCTAGCACATTTTCTTAATGTTTCGCAGCAAAATTGTTTTAATTCTATTGCAGTGTATTGCATTTTGTCGTTCGGCGGATTACTTTATGACACCACTTAAACTTAAAACCACTCGAAAACCAAGCGGATCCGCGTCGAGGTTAAGGAAAATTTTGCTGCTTCTTTAATTCTTGCCCCTGTCACTGTATTACTCTATAAGGTATACATACGTACAGGATCCGCCGAGTGAAGATTGGTCTGGCGTGGGAGTTGTTAAATAATTCGAATTTTTAAGATATAAAGCATTTCTTGTTTCGTTGATATTGGGGATAGTCTAAATCAGATAGAAAAAAACGTAGATGTGTGTCTCGTTTGCTTTTTTAGTGTTTTGTTTAATGGCGGAATGAGGTCTACGCTAACTAGATTGGGTTAAAAGCTTTCTAGAGACTTTGTTGACGTATTATTATTGTTTTTATGTTTTTTTTATTATATTATTATTATATATAATAAAATAAGACCGAATAAAATATTAAGTATTACATATTGTTGCATATTCTCCTTAAATACGCCACTGAAGTCGGTCAGAAAAGTTATAGAACAATTTTTATTTGGCATGTAATATCAAGAAAAAGAGACTGAACAGTTCGAGGACCATACTAAGTTGCTCAGAAGACACAGCTTCAACTTTTAGTAGAAAGGTCAATTCTCAGTAATCCATAGGCGTCTTAATTATATATGAGAAAAATTATTACTTTTTCAATAATCATTATTTCATATTCACACTTAACGTCGCAGGTGTCTCAGGTCTCTAATGTTATCTTAAATCTTAAATAAATGTCCATATCCAAAAAGAAAACGCATCTTTATAAACTTGGTGCCATTAAAAAGAACTTTTCCTAGTATATCGTTCTTACTATGTGTGACGCGACTGCGATTGCTAACGTTGTCACCAGGTGGCATTTTCTGACATATCGCAAAAAGAATAGATAACAGAAACAGGAATAAAACAATATTACTTTTTTAATTCACTGAACAATCAAATAAGGGCTCAACAAGCCAGTGAAAACCGAATCTTATAATATCTTCAGCTTAACCTAAAATATGATTAAAAGAACTTAACATTCAAAAAAAGATTGATTCTGGGAAAAAAATCACTTTATGGGTTTTTTGCTAATGTCTAATTATCCAGGATTTACATAATAAATCGGTAACTTTTTATTTAGGCTGTCAAATGAAATCTAGGATAAAAAAGAAAAAGTGTTCGTATCTTTTACTCTTTTTACAGTTGAACTGAGGTGGTTTTTACTTTTACAATTAAATTATATTAAAAAATATTAAAATTTCCACAATTTTGATATTTTACATAATAAATCAAAAAGCAAAAAATTAAATTTGTTGGAACCTATGGAAATTAACAAATTGAGATATTCCAACCTATTACTTAATGATCAATTGGATTTAAATAGTTCTTATGCTTTTTAAAAAACTTCTGGATTCCTCCTGCGTCGGTTTTTGCTTAGTCGAAATTGCTGACGTTTCGCCAATCATCCTGTTGGCTTCTTCAGAGCTCGACTCAAACTGGTTTCAATTTCGACTAAACAAAAATCGACGCAGGAGGAATGCAGAGGTTTTGTAAAAAGCATTACAGTAGCCTGTGGAAGTTTCTTTGAAAAATTAAATAGTTGTTATATTTAAATTTAATTTTATTTAAACTTATAACCGTAATTAAGAATTTTTTACTACCTGTTCATATATATGTATATATATATATATATATATATATATATATATATATATATATATATATATATATATATATATATATATATATATATATATATATATATATATATATATATATATATATATATATATATTTCAATACACAATATATATATATATATATATATATATATATATATATATATATTTCAATACACAATATATATATATATATATATATATATATATATATATATATATATATATATATATATATATATATATATATATATATATATATATATATATATATATATATATATATATATATATATATATATATTGTGTATTGAAATAATTCTTCTTTCGTATCGCGTCGATTTCTTCTAGACACTGGATTACGGGGAAAAAAAAAGTATAAAAAAAACAGCAGTCAGGAAATTAAGCATTAATAACAACTTTTAAAGCGTTAATTTCTTCAATTCATATCTTAGATTTTTTTTTTTTAATTTCGGTTACACTTCGTTTCCTGAATATCGTGCCTCGTTGCCCTTACTTGAATACCTGGCATAAACCAGCTTGATTATTATTGACAACCAAATAACTGGTCTATAAATTTCATAAACTACTAATTATTTCTTAAATAAATACAGCTCTGGGATGTTCGCTAGGATATGACGCCATTTCTAATACATATGTTCTAATTAATTAAGCACAGAAGGTCCGAGAGTCCGCATAATCCTTTTGTTATATCGCAAATAACAAACTACTTTCCGGCTGTTAATTTCGCAGCATGTAATTAACAGTTTCAGTGACACTGCAGATCAAAGAATATAGTAATTCCTACACAAATCGAAAATTATATGGGTATTGGTCAAGTGAAAGTAAAACATCTAGTCCGACATTTGCGATTTTTAAATATTTATGGGTGACTCACACAGAGGGAAGCAGAACGAGAAGAAGAATAAAGAAGTAATTATAATAATTATAATGTCTAACTATCTTAGTTTAAAAAAAAAAAAATCCAAAAATTTTTCTTTATTTAATCTCTATGAAAATCGTACACAGTAATTCAATGCAAATTGGTTGCATTTACAGTTAACTGCCGCTCTAAACACTACGAGCAATAATAAAACTAGGAAAATTGGAGATTTCAGTTTAGTTACCCATTAGACTAGAAATTCGATGTTTTGGGATTTGTGTTTTTGAAGCCGTGACTACAAATTATTCTAAAATTCGTCCCCAGACGCTGTCAGCGTGAATTTTTCCGGAAGATGTAAACTCCGCGATGACCTGTACAGGGCCACAGTATTTTGTTATTATTTTATATATTTATTCCAAATGTCTTCAATTTTTTTGAATAATAGCTACACACAATCAGTACTTACCCTTTGTCTGTTCAATTTCTTTGAGTTGTTTTCCTACATCAATACGCCTGTGGTGAGTCACAAGACCTTAAAATATAATTTATCTTAATTGGAATTATTGTAATATAGTTATTTAATGATTTTTGCGAAAACACAAAAATCTCGTAAAAAAATACGAAACCATTTCTCAAATGTAAGCTTCAGTTAATATTCGAAAAAATATACTAGTCGTAGAAATTCATCCTTAATGGCTGTAACCTCAAATTTCATTAACTTGACATACTCTACCAAATAAATTCAATGTGAAACGTTGCTTTCTGGTGACGCAAATTAATAAGTCACACGAAGGGAATAAATTTATGAAAATACAAATGAGTAGTGGTCGCTATTACCGACCAATTGATATTTTTTCCAGCTCCAAGCACTTCTTTCATCAGAAAGTAGATGGAGCAGTAAAATTTTAATAAATATTAATTATGTTAACTCATTGAATATATTACACATGTCTACATCGGCTTCTCTGCGTTCGTTGGAAGTAATAATGGTATCACCATGATTGCGGGGTTCCCTAATAGTTGCGCCATAAGTTTGTGGTCCGACAATGATAACTCCTTGTGTTTGGGGTCCAACGACGGTAGCTTCGTGAGTTGCAGGCCCGATAATTGAAATTTGATGAGTTACTGCACCGATGACGTAAGAAGGCCGATGTTGCGTTGCTCCACCTATCTGGTGAAGGTGTGGTTTAGCATAAACCACAGATATTGTAACCAAAGATATGATCTGTAAGTGAAAAAAATATTTGGAATATAAAAACTGATTAGTAACGTTAGTAAAAAAAGCATGACAAATCTGAAAAAAACAGCGTGATAAGTAAAAATTAAAAAAATCTGAACGTATAAATATGAAACTGAAAAATCAGAATTGAAAATGATCGAGAAATAGAGACAAAAACAGGATTGAATTGACATGTTAAAGTGGAACTACTCGAAAATAAAATTGCTAGAGATTTCTCCAATTACCAGAGCGTATTCTAACAACACTTGTAAGGGACCTACAACGTTCACAACGTGAATGTAGTTACAAAACATAGGAAACAAGTAAACGCAAATAAACAATAAAAGCTCTCGGATTAATGTTATTTAAATTGTCGCAGGCAGAAAAATTGGATCACTTTCTCGACGAAAGTATAACCGCCCAAGCAAACAACGCTCCGACGTAATCAACTCGACTTGACGTACATCTTGGCTTTTATTGAATTGGACATGGATCGATGAAATTAAAGGAAAATTAATATTACTATTTCATCTTACCGCGCAATTCATTTTGGTGGTAGGTTTTTCGATTTATTCTTATATTACACTGACACACAATCCCCTGAACCCTGAATAAATAGCTAATATGTCGACCTTCATTTTCTTGTTAATATGTGCGGTTTCCAAAAAATACTAAATATTTGCATTTACGCCAAATCGATTAATTAAAACCAAACGCAGCGGTTAAAACGAACCCCCATACCTATGTCAGTTTTTAAATTTCCTAATTAAGATTCTTCGAAATATTTATAGTTAAAGCTATGAAAAAGAAATTAATTTATTACTGGTTGAAAATTATTGATGACCAAAAACGTAAAGGATTCAAAACATAATAATTAATAATTAAAAAATAAATTGCTTTACAAAGAAAAAACATCTTAAGTTCTTCGGATGGCGGGTTTCAGCTTTCATCCTAGGAACCCTTAAGAACCGAACTTTATGAAAAATTTCAGTTTTTTTAATTTAAAATGTACGAAATATATTTAATTAAAACCACGAAAAATTAGTATGGTAAAATACAAATAACAAATAACAAACAAATCTTAAATTAATTTAAAAAATCAAAATCCCAGGGTTTACTTATTGAAAAAGAGCAAGGAAGAACTTGAATCTCAGATTAAAAATCAAAACACAAGTTAAGACAATGATTATTTTATGGTGAGAATCTTTCAGGGAAAAACAAACTAAAGCGCTATTTGCTGAATGCGGTCCTAAGGTTTCCAAAAGGCTAATTTGCTGTGGAAAGGTTCATATTGACGGGGAAAGATACCCTGTATATGAGGATATTAGCATATTAAGGTGCTACAACTGCCAAGAGTACCACCACAGAGGTGGTGGAGACATTTGATGGACCATGACTCAGCAAAAATCAACTGTCCAACCTATCAATGCTACCTAGGGATAGCTAAAGCTAGAATTAACTATGGCTAATCAAGAAATACAACACTCGGTGCGTGTTGATCCTGGTTAGATAGTTAACTTTGCAAGTAGGAGCAATATACTATTAGTGTTATGCACCTAAACACTCCTGGTATCAAATCAAACTTTGATAAATTGTTAATATTTTTGGAAACGCACAACTTCACTTTTGAACTAATAGTTTTAGGCGAATTATCCTATATTTGAAAATTGTAAGCTGCCAATAACTGCGGTAACGGTAACTAGAATCTCAATGAATATACAAAATATGGATTTGTGCTTCTTTGCCATATATAGATCTGCATCTTCAAATGCAAACAATTTCTTAGGCTGTATTAACGATTTCTTTGAACATAAAAGCAAAACACAGCTTCGCGTTCGCTTAGGGGATATTAATATAAATATTCTCAATAATGATGATCCAAACATTTTAAAATACAGGAGGATATCACAAGAGAAGAATCTGGAGCATGTCTAGATTATTTGTTTCTTAGAAGTCACACTAGAACTAAATACCATAATACTTTTTATAATACAACAGAATGACGTAAAATGTTGTCTGAGAAAAATGAATAATGGGGGATCTTACGAAGGTCTTTGAGAGTTTCCCAGAACTTGTCGCTTGAGGCTTTGGAAGTTTGCGGAGTGAGGGGGATTGTGTTGGAGGTTTTTGAGAGCAACCTTACAGATCTCCTCCAAGAGGTCAGGATCGGGAAGACCATAAGCGAGATAGGGACAGTTAAACACGGCAAACCACAGGGTACGGTAATAGGACCAATACGTTTTATTATTTACTTGGAAAGCTTACGCAGCATATGCCGATAATACCTTCATAGTTTTCTTTGCAGAAACTTGGTCAAAAGTCAGAGAAAAGGTAAAAACCGGTTTTATGAGCATTAAAAATATCCATCTAAAACAGCTTTGTATACAATAGCTGCATAATATGATTCCTGCTAATTTACGTTACTGTGACTACAGCAGTCTGCACAATTAGGCACATACAGGTCCTAGGTACTAGGTACTTTACTAGGTACTAGGTACTAGGTATTAGGTACTTTACTAGGTACTAGGTACTAGGTACTAGGTATTAGGTAGTAGGTACTTTACCTAGGTGACAGATTAGCGATAACGAGGTGTAATTAGTCTCGAAATTGTCTTCTTTGGTAATAATTTTTTTAGTAGTAATTTATTGGAAAATATGTTTGTCTAAATAATTGATAGTTATTTTTTAATTTAGTAGCACACATTGGATGGCCTATACTTAATTTTTCTTATAAATGCTGGGGCAACGCCAGTTTTTAACGACTTTTGTGTAATTTTCGAACTAACCCAATTTGATTCAACACCTTAATCTCCCAGAAGGTTTCGCCCATAGATTAAACGAACTTATTAAAATATCATTTTCATTTAATTTTAGTTTCTTTCTAACTATCTTGCCGTTTTTCGAAAGTCAATCAATAAAGTGGGAAGATTCCATCCTGTCGCTCTCCAAAGCGTTCTTGATGAACAGGGCTACAATTGAAAGGATCATACTTCATTAGATTATTGTAATTAAAACAGATGTCCAAAAAAGAGCGAAATAGTTGGAAAGAAACTTAAAATTAAGTGAACATGAGGTTTAACGAAGTTTTTTTTTATTTATTATTATTATTTTATTTTATTATTCTGTCTATGTGTAAAACTTTGTGCGAAATGTCGGTTTTCAGTTGATATTTCAAAGATGGGAAAGAAATAAATATGGGGAAACTAGCGCAAAAGTGGATTAGTTTCATTCCTAGAATTCGAAGGCATATAGAGGTGTGCTATTTAAAAATACTTAATACAGCATGTTTCTAGAACTCCCGTACAAAATCTGAACAGCCTGTATCTAAAATGGTAGCAAAGGAAGGAAAGAATACCAGAAATTGGTTGGAGAAGTACCACTTTCTATTAAAGCACCAAATTGCTTAAAAATCTAGGAAATTATTTTTTGTTTCAATAACGGACAGGGTAGAATCTAAAAATGAAATGATATACAGGGGGTACCTCTTGTATCACCCCGTATAATTTCACAAGTTTTTTTGATGGCGGCTTATCTTTGTAAAGGAAATTGTCGTTGCCCCAGAATCTATCAGAAAAAATAACTATAGATTCTGACGAACTTTTTATAATGTGAATGTGTGCAATAACGAGATTTTGATCATATTTAAAAAAAAAAACACCCTTAAAACTGAAACATTTATTTTGAGTAGCCACGTATATCCTAAGACGGCCATACTATATATTTCATTAATTTCATTGCTTTGCTACCAGTGCCAAACATAATAAAATCCAATAATTAGAGTAGTGGACACTGGTTGCTAAGGGTTTAAAAGTCGATACTGCAGACAGTATTCGTTCCGTTATAAGCTGTTAACTATGTTGATGCACGGTAAGAGGTCGATTCTGTTTATAAAACCGATTGTGATTTATTGCAATATTTTTGGTGTCATACCTCTGTATAATTTCGAGAAGAGAGAAGTGTCAATAAATAATTGGTACTACAGTTGGGTGGCTTTACATTGGATGTTTATGCTCGTCATGCTAATATACGAATATTTCGTAAAATGTGTGGAACTGAAAGCAAAGAATTCCGAATACGTATTTTTAATATTTGAAACGATAACTACCTTGTTGGGAACGCTGACGATATTCATGATGTTGTTTAACGGGCATTGCAAAACTAAGCAATGGGAGGAACTTTTCAGACGGATTTCCTTTATGGAGAATATTGTTAATTTAAACACCGAACACATGAAAGAGACGAATTTCTTTAAATGCCCGTTTTTGCATTTTATCTGCATAAATTTTATTTTTTTTATCTTAAATATCACTCGGGTGGACAGTAAATACTTTCCTCTCAATCACCGACAGATAACGTTTTACTACAGTTTCCTGTACTTACTGATTCAAAGCAATTTCACGTCGTCCATATTGTACAAATACGAAGATATAAACAGAAATTTGTTGAAATTGAGGAAAGCGAATGTTTTACAATCGACCACTGCTCTAAGGAGGATTAAGAAATGTCGAAAAATGTATCATGAAATGGGGAAGATCATCGGTATTTTGAACGACCTGTTTGGATTTCCTTTATTTTCAATATACGGATTTTGTGGATGTCAAATTTTATACCTCTGCACCGACGTATATGTAATTGTAGCCATTCCTACCCATATGGCTGCTTACTCCTGGCCATTGAATTCTGCTCTTGTCACCGTGTTGGTTGTAGTAAGTTACAGCGAATTTTACTTTTTAAATTTTTAGCTTTATATAAATAATGTTTTATCGCTTCTCTGGTTACGTTATTTACTATGTGTATACAAATTTTTAAATCACAAATTCAAACGTACTTCAACTATGTCACTATAAGATTCAAGTATCTTTATATGGCTCTTTTAATTAACAATTGTCATTAAATTTAGTGGTGCGACTTTTCTAGTGTTACAACCGAAAATTTTGGAGACAAACTCAGCAAACCCAACAAAACTTATTCTTACCGTATTCTGAAAAAAAATAGCTAGGCATATTAGCCTATTTTGTTTAATTAAAAACTAATTATTAACTCATAATTAAACACTCAAATTTGCAAATCACCGTTTTGCAATATAAATACTGTGGCACCATATTTAGAACAACACAAAAAATGTTTCCGTTGTTCTAGCAAAAGTGTCATAATAATAATAATAATAATAAATAAATAATAATGATTCAAAGTCATACAATATTTGGTTATACTTCCTCTCGCACCACTTTTGTTTCATTTTGTTAAAGAAATACGCTGAATATAAATGTGTTTTTTGATTCAACGGAAAAATCCAAATTTATATGTTATTTTTAACTGAAAATAGGTATTTGTTGAGGTAGTAAATATTTTTAAAATTTTAATTTAAAATAAAAAAACTATATATTTTTAATTCGTGTGAAAACATATAGGGCCTTATAATTACTGAAATATTTCTTTGAACTAATTGTAGCTGACCCTGTGGATCACATCGATTCACTACGACATGGTGTCCAGTCAATCCAATAAGCTAGTAACAACTTGCTATGCGATCCAGAAAAACCTGAATATTTTTTGCGAGAGGAGGCAGGAACTTGTCGATTTCTGCGATCAAATCGAAATGAGGAAAGTCAAATTTAGTGCCGCCCGATTTTTCACCATAAATCGATCAGTTATCTTCACTCATGTTAGTGTGGCCGCCAGTTATTTTATAGTGATAGTGCAATTTCTAAATGCCGATAAAAAAGATCGGGAACTATCATAACAAAGAAGCAATTTGAAAAATATTGTTTACATTCCCGGTCTGAAAAAGGTGTTTGTGAGTCAAGATTTTCCAAAGTAGATAAAATTGTTACGAGTGTCTGTAATGAAATAATGTATTATAAGAGTGTTTCTAGTTAATGCGTGTTTGTTATTCGATCCATTTTGAGACCATATGCACATACTTAAGTGTCGATCAGGTTTTCGAAAAATAGTCAATTCCACAACCTTGCGAATAAGTCCTTTATTGAACGCGTTTGCCTGCAATAAGTTATATAATACAAAATATACAATATGTATACACGGAAATCGTCTCCAAGAAGGTGAAGCCTCGAAACAAAAGCTTCCCAAAATATTTACATAAAAAGGTAGCTAATTAACGTAACATCTTTCTAACGAAATATATTGGGAACGTTTCTCCCGAGTTTTTTTTTTTAATTTTTCTAACGGCTCTCGTTTTTTACCAATGACCATGACCATGACCATGAGCTAAAGTCGGCCCCCACAGACCGTCAGCATGAATGGCACCGGCTGGTCCTGCGATGGTAGCTGGAACAGTTGGTGGTCCGGCAACAGTTACTCCATGGGCGAAAGCTCCGTATCCGTGTCCTGGTTGCATAATAAGCATAATACCCGGCAATCAAAACCATTTCATTTCTGTAGTGTTATTTGAGTTCTCTAATTTCGAGAAATTTATTAAATATAATTTTTGATATATTTTACATATGGATGCTATATATACAAGACTGATTTATAAAGATACAATAAAAAACAGTCCCTCTCTCCTTCATAAAAACCAAAAATTAAGTTTTGTACCCTACCTTATTTTTATCAAAATATCTCTTGTAGATTAATCATGAGTTATTCAGTTTCGTTCATATTTGCATGTTATTAATCTACATAATATGCTAATATCTGGTTCGCGTGGTATAATAATATCGTAATTCCAGAATATCAGTAAAAATAACTTTGGAATTTTGAAATTTGTCAAATTTTTACTGTTTTTTTCAAACATTTTTCTTAGTGTAACTGAAGCTTTTAAGAATTTTTGGCTCGCAATTAAAAAAAAAATACTCAATAACTTACCGCCCAATCCAAGTCCAAGACCCACTCCTCCTAAACCGACAGCTGGGCCAGCTACTACAGCACCGTGAGCAACAGGTCCTGCAGATATTCAAATTAATAATTATTTATTCAATTATTCGATAATAAATTATCTTTAATATATTTTAATGCTAATACATATTCAATTTTAGTTTAGCATCCGAAAATCAAAAGTATTCCGTATAAAGCAAACAAAATGAGTTTCTTTGGTCGCTATTTTCAATTTTCTATCCATCAATGCATCAACGAAACATACCAGTGCGATTAATAATTTTTGTAGTTTTATAATTTTTTCAGGACCACGTCAAATAGCTATTTTGAATGTTCTACCGGGTATACGGAATTGCCTTTTTATGCTGCGAACCCCTATATTGAAAATTTTATATTAAATTAAATTATATTATATTAAAATTAAAAGTGATGATTTTATTCTATTGCGTTGTTTCAAAAGTAGATTTGGAAGCAAAATAACATTAGGAAAAACACGGAATAGGCAAAAAAATGTATTTTGTGTGGAATAATTGAAGAAATTTTTGTCGGGGTAGTATTTAGAATTTTTCCAATTTTTCAATTAAAAACTCAGAGACGAATTCAGACTTACCGACGACTGCAGCTCCGTGGGCAGTTGGTCCAATAACAGCTGCACCACCGTCAGTGGGTCCAACGACGGTTGCTCCATGAGTTGAGGGTCCAACCACGGTTGCTCCATGAGTAGAAGGTCCAACAATGGCAGCTCCATGAGTGGCCGGTCCAACGACCGAAACTCCGGCAGCCACTGGTCCTACAACGGCAGCGCCATGAGCTGCGGGTCCTGCCAAAACGGCTCCATGACCCAGACCGACACCGTAACCTCCGTATCCTCCATATCCCAGTCCGTATCCTCCGTGTCCCAGGACAAGGCCTGAAGGAGCAGCGCAGGCTACAGAGAGGGTGGCGAGCGTCAAGATCTAAAAAAAAAACACATTAAAAAAATAGTTTTAAAATATTCAGTTTTCTACAACATTTCTCAAAAGTCGTTATTGTAAATGTATCGACGGTGCTTACCAAAGCGTTCATTTTTCTGAGATCGTCTTGCGCTGGTAACGGAATCAGACTGTGCCCTCTGACTGACCAACACCCCGTATAAATAGATCACCACTTGACCTTCGCTTCGTTCGCGGAACAAATGCTCTCAAAAATCGCCTTTGTGAGTAATTACTCGAGTAATATTATTTAATATGGCACAAAAGTTGGGAAGTGATCCGTTACGGTAGTACGGGCAGTACGTACTTTCGCATAGCATTGAAAATCCGCCGATCCGATTTTTTTCCCGATCCATTTTAAAGGTGAATTCCGTTTGATCTTGTTAGGAAAATGCATGAATGGGTGTTGGCTGCAACGTGATAAATAAGTGGGTTGCTTAATACAGGATCTCCTCCTAGGATAAGCAACAAACGCGGCGACCTTTACTGAAAACGTTTATTTATTCGAATATTTATATATTTTTTCACTTGCATTAAGGGATGAGTATAAAGTAATCGTCGCTGCTTCTAAGCAAGTAGAACCTAGTTATCTGTAAGCCCCCGCAAATAAAAATTTTTTATCGCAACCAAAGAAGACGTTCAAAAATAAGATTATTTAGTTGAACAGCAAATTGAAACAAGTTTTTTCAATTTTTCTAAAATCTTTTTTTTTTAATTTTTGCCAGCTCTAAAAAAATAGACTAAAATATAATCCAAGAAAATATTAAATGATATAAACAGTTTCTTTTCAAAAATCAAATTTCTTGGCCACTTATGGTATTTAAATATCTCAACATAGTTTTGACTTAATTTTGCGATAATGGCTATGTACCGAGTGTCTTCAAAATGTGAAAAGCCCATGCCAAATTCGAAATTTCAAATAGAAACTCCCAATTGTTTAAGGTGGATTCGAATTTTTGTGAAAATGCGATTTTTCACACATTTAGAAGCACACTGCAGAGTAGCAAATAAACAATTATGACAAATTTAAAACGTCTTCGATCCTGCTCGTTGAGGTCAGTTTCAAAAATTTCTAAATACATATCTTCTTTCTATCTTCTCTTCTCTCTATCTTCTATCTTCTCTTTCGCCAATTAATTTTTATACAATTTATCTAGTGCACAACTATTCCTATCAGTACATAAATTCCATGGAACAATTATTAAAATAAATAAGAACTGAAAGTTCAGATTTTCACGAAATTATATATTATGACATGACAATTGTTTCGACAACACCGTGTCTTTATCAAATGTTGATATTCACAGTCACATGACGAAATTGCGTCTCAAATGCTATATAGCATTTAGAAATAGCATATACTACTTGTATTTTTCAAAACGGCGGACATATTGAAAAACTAATTTAATTAATTTTACTTGTAAGCATTAGTAGTTAGTATTTGACTCAGTAAGAGGGTTTTACACCGATATTTAATGGTTTATAAAGATTTTCACTACTATAATGCTTAAAGACGCCAATTTTGACTAGTATTTGAAAGATATTGACATGAATATGTAACTTTTTGGATCGAAAATTGATAGTTTAAGCTGATATTTGCAGTTTTGAGGCGGTTTTAGGTACGATATGAGTCGGAGAAGCCGATTTTGACTGGAATCTGTTTAAAATGAGAAGGAAAAACCTGCTATCAATTCAAGAAAGTCCATTTTTAAGTAGTTACCTGCAGTTTTAATATAGATTTCAGTCCGCTAAGTTATGAAAATGCCTGTTTTGACTATAATCTCCCGTAAATCCAGGGCCAAAACCAATTTTTTGTCCCAAAAAGAGGGTTTTTCAATATATACCTGCACTTCTAAGGTAGATTTGGGTACAATAAGAGGCGAAAACGCAGATTCTGACTAAGATCTTATCGAAATCGGCAACTATTTGACTCAGAAATGCCCAAAGACGCCAACTTTGACTAGGGTTTGAAACATATTGACAACAAAAAGTAACTGTTTGGATGAAAAAATGATAGTTTGAGCTTTGATGCGGTTTTAGGTTAGATATGTGTCGGAGGAGACGATTTTGACTGGAATATGTTTGAAAAATGGAAAAAAACCTACTATTAATCCAAGAAAGTAGGTTTTTAAGTAATTATCTGCAGTTTTAATGAAGATTTGAGTCCCGTAAATTACGAAAATGCAGGTTTTAACTATAATCTGCTCGAAATCAACAGTGAAAACCAATTATTTGTTCCAAAAAAGGGGTTTTAAGTGCATGTCTGCTTTTCTAAGGTAGATTTGAGTACAATAAGAGGCGAAAAAGCAGATTATGACTAAGATCTTATCGAAATCGGCAACTATTTGACTTAGAAAGGGGGTTTTACATCTATATGTAATGGTTTATAAAGGTTTGCGTTACTCTAATGCACGAATTTGCCAACTTTGACTAGGATTTGAAACATATTGACAACAAAAGGTAACTGTGTGGATCAAAAATGATAGTTTGAGCTGATATCTGCAGTTTTGATGCGGTTTTAGGTTAGATATGTGTCGGAGGAATCGTCGGACTGGAATCTGTTTGAAAAATGGAAGAAAAACCTACTATTAATCCAAGAAAGTAGGTTTTTAAGCAGTTATTTGCAGTTTTAAAGTGGATTACTGTCCGATAAGTTATGAAAATGCAGGTTTTGACTATAATCTGCTCGAAATCAAAAGCGAAAACCATTTATTTGTCACAAAAAAATTGGTTCTAAGTACATATCTGCTTTCCAAAGGCAGATTTGGGTGCATTAAGAGGCGAAAAAGCAGATTCTGCCCGGGATCTTATCGAAATCGGCAACTATTTGACTCAGACAGGGGGTTTTACACCGATATTTAATGGTTTATAAAGATTTTCTGTGCTATAATGCTTAAAGACGCCAATTTTGGCTAGTATTTGAAAGATATTGACATGAATATGTCACTTTTTGGATCAAAAATTGATAGTTTAAGCTGATATTTGCAGTTTTGATGCGGTGTTAGGTTTTAGGTGCAGTAGTGTTAGTCTTTTTTAATCATTTCATGTAGACATTTAAAAGTAAAAATTATCACCATTCTCTTTTTAATATGACTTCTTAACAATCCTCTAAGACGGTTGTGAACAAGTTAATAATTTAAGTCTTATACCCAGTTTATAATTGTATATGTTCGAAAATCCAATAATATACAGGGTGTCTCATGTAGGAAAATTGAGAAAAGTATCATTCTGAGAAACGTGGCAACACCGTGTTCTATTTAAAATAATGTAATTTTGTTTTACCACCCTGTATATAAAAAAGTGAAGATTAGGAAAATAAAAAGAATAAAAGTCATTTTAATACAAACAACTTTTGTATTTAATTTTTTTTTGTAAATCCCGTAGGTTTCGAGATAAAGTATAGGCGCCACTTAAACGGGCCACCCTATAGATACATTAAGTTTAAGGCATAGTGGAGTCCACCGCCAGTCCGTAAAACTGTTTTATATAAAAGATATTTTTCGTACATTCACCGGCTTCATAATAGTATCCTGGAAGAGTATAAAACCTTATCAGTGGGTGCATGCAAGAGACGATATAAACAATTTCTGCTCAACTTATTAAACTAAATTATGGTTTACATATTATCTTAGCGACTTTTCAAGTATGGTTATTTTTCGCCACAAATATATTGAAAATGTTAATAATGCTGTTGCTATTATACGGGAGACGAATCTTTTTAAAGGGACTTTCAGCCTCCTTTTCGCCATAGATTTTAAAATGCATAACGTATTTTCCTAAACCGCATTTTGCCAAATAAAGGTATTGTTATTATTATTATTATTATTACTTAAATTAAATAATTTTTTTTTCAATTTAATTAAGTCAACAATGTCTTTACTTTTCGAATGTCGTTTTTGACATTTTCGTTTTATATTAATATTTTATTTCATTTGTGCATGTGCGCAAAATACATGTTGAGTTTTTCTTTTTAAGTTTCATTAAATTTATGATATTTTTTTTTTAATTGAAGTTGGCTTTTTTGTTACTTTGTATATTAGTGCTTACTGAAGCAAGTTTGTAATACTTCTTTTTTACAAATTGTATCTGCTACTTAATTTTGATAGCAGGTGTATTGCATGATATTAAAGTGAACAAAATGTTTGAAATAACGTCCGCTGATGTATATTTTAATAAAAAAATTAAAAGATGATTTCTCCCATAAAGTTCTTCCGAAATAAAACTAGAATTTATTTTGGACGATTAGCATTCAAGATATCGTCCCAAGGTGTTTAGATCATGGAAGAAATGGTACTAATAAATAATAATAAATATTTATACTTCAGCCTACAGATTTGCAGGCGAAGATCCGTTTTCAGTGCTTACACTCCAGTCTCTCTTTTAATTGATCTGGGTTCGTCTTATTCTATAGGAGAAAAACGTGGGAAATTATAAGAAAACTCACGTTTTTAAATGGCGACAATACTATGTACTATATATTCAGTTGGGCGATTGTGATAACGAAGGTCAACCAGTTCTATGAAAACTGGCGTTTAATGTCGGGTGGTTTAAAGTGGATGGCATATCAGAAGTATCCCGCGAACGGATTTATTTTACAATCTATACGCTCTGGCAAACAGAGGTGTGCCATATAGCATGGTTAGCTTCGATAGTATGCCAGGTGGCACAAGAAAACATTTTGACGCAGTAATATGATATTTAGGTGTCTTAATAAAGGCGCCCAAAGGTGCAATTTTTCTACACTTAAAAGTGAAAGGATACACTTCCGGTTTTGAATTTTAAATGGTACTCCTTGTATATTTTTGCGTGCAGGAAGTTATTCTAGACAAGAGGAGACATTTTTTTCTATATTTCTTGTTTTTTAAACACTTTATTTAATTTTGAAAATTATATGTAGCCGGCTATGAATACAATAAATACAATTTTTTTTCAAAGAAACTTCCACAGGATACTGTAATGCTTTTTACAAAACTTCTGGATTCCTCCTGCGTCGGTTTTTGCTTAGTCGAAATTGCTAACGTTTCGCCAATCATCCTGTTGGCTTCTTCAGTTTCAGTCAAGCTCTGAAGGAGCCAACAGGATGATTGGCGAAACGTCAGCAATTTCGACTAAGCAAAAACCGACGCCTACTGACAAACAGCATTTAATTTAATTAATTTAATTAATTTAGTTAATTTAATGAACTAATAATTTTTTAAGGTAAATTACATTTTTCACAGGAACCCTAGTTTTTTTGGCACATTTTGAAATTAACATTTTAAAAACCGTTAAAAAATAAACTCACATTAAGAAGAAAACCAGACCATTAAATGGATTTTTATAAAAATAGATTATTGCATAGAAGGCTGTGCTTTTAAGCCCGGCACAAATACAAATTCTTATAGTTTGTACGTTTTGACCTGGATATTGGTTTTGTCATGTTATTGATTTACTTTATCATCGAAAATCATCAATTTACAAATGGAGAAAAAGCTAAAATGCTTCTAATATACGGCGAATGCAGAAAAAGTTCGTGCAGTAGAAAGAATATACCAAATCGTTTTTTTTTTATTATTATTTACGGGAGGCCTTCTAATTTTGTCGGGACGAATCGATTAGAATCTTGAAAGATTTTCAACAAGGCACATTGTTCAGACAATTTAAACTGTATTTTATAATGGAAAAAGTTGAATGTGCCTCCCCAAGTACAGGATTATTTTTTATATTTGCGTACCCACCTACAGGGGTTAACGGAAGATACCTAGAAAACCCTTTAATACAAAACTTGCATAATTTTGGAGACTTGTAAAAGAAAATATTTTTTGTATCACCCTATATATTTTTTGTTATAACAAAAGCCGTTCTTGAATTATTTAAGTATAAATTTTTGATTAACTAAACAGATATTGATCGAGATGGCCGGACATTCAGTGTGACTTATTCTATAGCTTTAGTTTAAATACAAACATTCAATTAAGAAAATGGGTTACTCAGAGGAAGAAAAGCTTTAACAAGTTCGTCATATTATAAGATTCCGTCCACTTTAAAATATTATAAATATCACCCTTAGAAATTTATTCCGATTCAAGACTTATCTGAAGGAAATAAAATTCAATAGTTACAATTTTGTCAAGAAATGTCGAGGCATAAATCAGAGGACTTTTTAGGAAACATTATTAAATCAGAGAAACCAGTAAGAATACAGGGTCGTAGATCGTCCTGTGTGGTGTGGTATGCTGGTCAACCAAATAATCGGACCGATTTTTCTTGATGAATAGATCAATTCAATACATTGATTTTTTTTTTAATTCCCGTTCGCCAATACATTAACCTCGCTTGTCAGCAAGATTGGCCGCCGCCCCTTAATATTGATCCAAGTTACTGAATACCTAAATGACGGATATGATCATTGGATAGGCAGACATGGCAAAATTCAGTGTCCGGCTAATAGAACGGAGCTAAACCCTCTTGATAATTTCCTCTGGGGATGTTTGTTATTGTCGATATTATGTTCTCTAGAATTATTAGTATTATTGGATAATTAATAATTATTAAAATGAAAAAGACGAAGCTTTTCTTACTCTGAGTCACCCATTTTCCTGAAACGCCTGGCCAACTCGATCAATCTGTTTAGTTAATCAAAAATTTAAACTTAAATAATTCATAACAGAAAATATATAGGGTGTTCGTTCTAAAAATACTGTTTCTAACTCTGTGATGCGCATTCGTTTTCTTTTTCAAGTTTTGTTTTAACGGTTTTTCTCGGTGACTGCGTTTAACCCCCTATAGGTGTGTAGGCAATAATAAAAAATAACCCTGTACTTACTAAAGAATAAACGAGGAAATATTTTTTTTAAATATGCAAATTATGAGTTTGTAACGCATATTTCTAATTGGATGAACGTAATTAATAGACCGGGCACCGAAAGAATTTATATATATTTTAATGAAATTGTAGTTCACTGAAAATTTTATATAGGCTAAGACATTGCAAAGTTGAATCACATTGTGTTAAATTCATCATTTATTTAAATGTTAGAAGCGTCTCGAGATCGCATTAAATTATAGAGGCTGGCGAAATTAAAGAAAACTTTGCCGGGATTGAATTTTCTGATCATGTCATAAGAATATTTCAATAACTGCTTAATTATTAATAGTCTAATTATAATTGATAACTTAATCGCTATTATGATTGGCAAAATCGCCTACTTGCGCTTTAATGGCTTTTTTAATACCATGCAACATATTTTCCCATAATATTTGGAATTTATTTAGCAGCGATCACCGCCGCGGGTAACTTCAATACCGCCAAGTCATTCTTGCAAAGGCCGCGAATCGGACTCGACATAGCCACCTTTTCATTTTCTTTAACTCGCATATCATTTATCTCCCTCAAATCTCGGATGCTTTATGAGTTATAAAATAGCGCGTACGTCAATAAAAACTAATTTTTTTTCTCGATACTTTCATTATATTCTTTTCTTTTTCACATTTGCAATTTTAAAAACTATAAATAAATATATACACAAACAACAACAATCAGTAAACGAGGCAGTCATGGTTTCGGCCCATCGTGCGTCAACGCGAAGTAGAAGAAGAAGAAAGGAAGTAAGAGAAGTTACGGAAGAGTTACGAGGCGATAAGCGAAACGGTGACAAAGGAGCGTCGATGCACATCTGGGAGACTAGTGTAGGGTAAAACTATTCGCGTTGTCGTCAGTAGTATTTCTGTAGAGGCAATCCTTGGAGCGTTGGACCCCAAATCTTTTCGGCTTTGATCTTTCCGGAAGGTCCAGCGACGAGAACATCTACCGCTTTGGGTCCGCGTACCTCAGCTCCAGCTTCACTTACTCCAATAGTGCCACCGCCTTTGGTTACGACGGCTGCAAATAAACACAGATTAAACTTCCCCAACCGAACAGGATATTAAAGAAATTATCTTAGCCTCTTAAGTAATTTTTAATTTAACTAATGCTAAAACTTACCGGCACCAATTGGAGCTGCGATAGCGGGGGCTGCGATCGCCAAGGGTGCAATGGCTGGAGCAGCTAAACCGATTGGGGCTGCGATGCCGGCGGTGCCAATAATCCCACCGGCCCTCTCGGGGCCTGCCAAGATGGCACCGGCACTAGTCGCTCCTGTCAAAATTGATCCGGCTGTCTTTGGTCCTTCGATTATGGCACCGGTAGATTGAGGTCCGGCCAAAATAGCACCAGTGGCCTTAAAAATAATTATTAAGGTAATTTAGATAAGATCGGTAAAAACAATGGACACGTACTTTCGGTGCGCTCAAGACCGCTCCGGCGGAGATACCTCCGCTGATCAATGCTGGGGCTGCGATTCTTGGAGCGCCAATGGCAATTGGAGCCTCGATCCTCGGGGCGGCAATGGCAATGGGGGCTGCGATTCTGGAAGCGGCTATGGCCGGAGCAGCTAGGAGAGTTGGACGAGCCACGAGTTCAGGCCCTCTCACGAGAATTTCTCCCCCGAGAGATCCCAATCCCAAACCGCCGAGAGATCCCAATTCTGCTCCTCTAAGAGCGCCTAATTCTAACCCTTTAAGGTCTATTAATCCAAGCCCGCTAGGTTTGGACAGGGCCATGCTGGCGAAGGTTGCAAAAAGTACCTAAATTGAATGTAAATTAAATTATATTTCGAATGTAGATGCGTGCGATGTCACTTACCAAGTTTCTGATCATCGTGCGACCGTTATCACCCAACCAAAACAGTATGATAAAGGCTAAAAAGAACTCGGTGTATATAAACCATTTTAATGACCTTCGTGCTCCTGGTACAGAATTGTTTGCAAGAAAATTAAAAAAAAATGTTTCAAATGCAACAAGCGCATATGCGAAAATCCACGCAGAATGTTGCGTCAGTCTGTGTTAATGCTCTAGAAGAGGCGAGCCGCCATTCGCGACGTAGGTTTTTATGCTAGCATATATAGGATTTCCATTAGAATGTCCGACGCGAAAAAATGGATCTTTTTTTGGATACGAAAATTCCCTTTGCTTCCGATAGTTCGCGATCGGGGAAAATTAAATCGAATTTCGTTGCAAAAAATGCCGGTGAATAAAAACCTGGTATAAAGATATTTCAGAATTGAGTTGGGTTGACTTTTATTTATGTTGGGGGTGTCTACTTTCTACAAATCATTGAAATTGTTGTTTTTCAATATAAAATGTTTATTATATATAAAATTAAATTATAATATATAAAATATAATTTTCTCGAATGTGTTCTGAAACATAACTTAATAATATCTTAATTTAATTGATTATAACATAATAATAATATTAAATTTTAACAAATATTTTCTTAAGGTAAGAAATTTTAAAATGTATTATAATTTTACAATTTTTGTGATGGTACGGTTTTAATTCGAGAGCTGTATCTATCTACGAGTGACGAAAAAATAGTTGACTAAGTTATTGCGGAGGAGTTATAATGGAAAGAAAGCCTTCTACCAATATAAGAAGTCGGGTCTATTAATCGTATAGGTAGGTAGGTAATTACACCAATTTAAGTGGGCAGGAACTTTGCCACATTAGCTCTTATCCTACAGGGGACTGAGTCACCTAATTGTAAATATCACACACGCATACATTTTAATGAGAAAATAAATCCAAGCAAAATGTCTTCACATAAAGGTTTTAAGTCCATTTTTTTGTGTGAGAATATTCATTTTTAACTTCGTATATTTTCTTCTCCCATCTTACATATCTAACACGTTGTTTTTATTATTATTTACTGATTTACCTGTATATTAATATTAGCTACATATGAATTTATCGTCTCTAACAAATATCCTTAAGCAAGTCAAATGAATTTTTTGCATAACGAAACCCAAATTGCTGAGGAAACAAATTATTAAAAAAAAAACTTGATACATATACACTGTGAGTGCAATTTATAAAGATTATTCTAGGTTTTCGTTTATTTATTTGACCTTAACGTTGTCAAAATTGCTCGCGAGAAAAAAGCAAGTCGATTATATTGTCGACAAAAAAGAAACAATATCACTAAACGAAAAATCGTGGTTGTTTAGAATATCCAATTTGACCAATACATTCTCCTAATTTAATAAGAATTATGCAATATACGGTTATTCTTTAACTGAGAAAATTTTATATATCAGTTAAAATATCATTGGGGCGAGAATGACTTTATAAGACAAGAGTCCACTACCATAGACCAGCCTGTAATGATAGTGCAATATCCTATAAAACCGTAATAACATTAGAATTTTATTATAGGTGTGGCTTCCACAAATAGTCACAAGCGTGACCGTTAAAAGTGTTCTTTGTGTAACTTTCGTAACCTTAGCAATGAATACTGAACAATGTGCGGTTGTAACATGCCCTATAACGTATATAAAAATATGTTTTTAAGATGTGAAAACAAAAATTTGGTAAATTATGAAGGATACCTGTGAAGAAGTGAAATTTAAGCAATAAGCAGCGTGATTTTAATATGCAGGGTGACCCACAAAATGTTGACAAATATCTACTTTTATTTTCAGTGCAACAGATATAGATATATTTCATGTATATCTAAGTGTCACATCTATCTATCTATCAATAATCATGCGTGTAAACCAAATAATATCTATAACATTTTCCCATTTATGAAATTCTTTATAATTTTAACGAATGAACTTTCTTTTGTAAAAAAAGGCCGGTTTAACAAGTGTATATAGTAATTCCCAAAAGTACTAATACACGTTCATGAAAAAAATAAATATTAAAAACAAACGAAAAGGCCGCCAAAAAAATTATTAGGATAATTTTCTATTAGGGTAATATTCCGAATATTCATAGTCTTCAAAGCATTACAATTTTTCCATCCAAATTAGCCTTACGTTTAATTACTCGGCGTGTTAACACGAGATGTGTATCAAAGACATTAAAGTAATTTACCACTTAAATTATACGCCCGAATATTACATATTTGAATTTGTTTTGTAGTTTAGTAGTGAGCGTGTATTCTCCGAAAATGAAAAACAGGTATAAATTTTGCATTTTCTGAACAAGAGATTTTGTGTGACGTTTATTTGAGAAGCATTACTATTATTATTTAGAAGTTAAGTTAACTAATATGCCCATTGTTGTCTTTTTTTCCTTCACTTTCTTATTTCGTGTTTTAATATATTTCGAAACGCCAATCAAGAACGCAACGAAAAACGTGGTTGGCACCATCTAGCGGTCAAATTGTTAAACATTGCATCGCTGTTGGGTGCGTTCTTTACCGTTTGTTTTTGAAACTAACCAGAATTCACAATTACTGTTCGGCAAGACGGTTAAAATAAATTTTGTGTTTGTATTCTGTTAGAATTTGGCAAGAACCGAGAATATGGTGGAAGTTTCCAACCGGCACAAGTTTGCCACAAATGAAACGAAAAGAAATTAAGATTCTAACAGTATGTCACCTACGACGACCGATATAAGTAAAATGTGTTTGTTTAAATGCTGCATAGCGAAAAATTTGGTGGAAAACTTTCGGATTTTTGCTAGTCTACTACATTTCGTTTTTTATTGGGTACCACAACTACTATAAAAAAATAGATCATATGGTAGATAATCCAGAAGACGACGACGAGAAACAAAAATTTGGTTATTATATCTTTTTTCATTGTGTGACTGTCGAATGTCACGTGTTAAAAACAATTTAGCATACTGCCGAGCAAAAATGGCGTTTGAATTATTTGGCTACCCTGGCGCATGCACCCGTTTCTGAAATTTAAATTTGTGACCCATTTCCTTTGTTTTTAAAATTATCTGAGACAATATAATCAAAGGTAAGGGTAAATTTAGTAAATAACAGAATAAATAAATAAATAAAAATGGCATAAGTAATAATATTATTAAAGTATAAATGAAAGCGAGAACCCTTTTCAATTGCCATATTAAGTTAACTCTATTAAATCACAAACACAATTTATTGTATTAGGGTCTATACTTTTCTCAATTAAATTTTGATTGATCGTTCCGCATAGACGAGCACTTATAACAAATAAAATAATAAAACCATAGTTTTAACGAAAAAACTGTTTTATTTTTATAAAAAATATATATACAAAAAATTTGAAAACATTTGTTTACTAGTTAAAATTGAAAATTTCCTGGTTGGCAGACCCCTTACCAGTGACCTCCCCAGCCTGAAAAAGATGATAATTTTTTGTTATATCTATCAGATCCAATGGCGCGCATAAAAACTAACCACCATCGCCTCTCCATTGACCGTCATCACCATCGCCCCTGTATTGGCCGTCATCACCACCGTCCCAACGTCCGTCATTTCCACCGTCCCAACGTCCGTCATTTCCACCATCCCAACGGCCATCATTGCCATTGTCCCAACGTCCATCATTGCCATCGTCCCATCGGCCATCATTACCATTGTCCCAGCGTCCGTCATCACCATCCCAACGACCATCGCCGCCATCTCCTCCCCATCCACCAGCTCCACGGCCTAAGGCATCAGGTCCAATAGGTCCATTAGGAGTAATAATTCCAGAGGGGCCTTTCAAGATGATTTCACCACCACGTCCACGTCCGTCTCCCCTCCACTGACCATCGTCACCGCCGAAACGGTTACCTCGCCATTGACCATCGTCACCTCCCCATCCTCCTCCTCCTACTCTACCGGCACCTCTACCATCGGGTCCAATCGGACCATGAGGAGTGATTATTCCTGAGGGGCCTTTAAGGATAATGCCTCCAGCTTGTACATAAGCCGCTAGGGCGAGGGTTGCTACAACCTAGGCGTAAAAATTCTGTCATAAGCTTCGCGTTGTTGCGTTCTTAGTTAAAATGTAAAAAATGAAAAACGTACTCAATCTACTATTACGAAAATATTTTGGAAATAGCCTATATGAATACAACCGAAATTGACGTTGGCGCACATGATATTTTTCACTAGAGAAAAAATGAAATAATCCGTGAAATCTCACTGTCGTTCCGCACTTTATACGTTTTTTACCAAGCACATTCACGGACTTGCCACTATTACTTACCAGGTACTTCATATCAGTCTATTTACTTAACTAAGACAAGACTATAATTCATGGTGGTATCCACCCTAGCTTATATAGATCAAAGTGTGGCCTTCAAATTACAACAAGGAAAATGCGTTAACTCTCAAACAAAATAGTTTCTGTTAAGGGTCATTACCATAATAAAATGCAGTGGTGGAGACAATAATTAACGCAATGTGATTTGTGCGATATGTAAAAAAAAATGGCGCAAAGGTTCCTTGGTAACAGTACTGTCTTTTAAAATCTTCTGTAGTGTCGCGCTCACCGCTTTCAGTTTAAATTAAATATTTTCCTACAGAAATATCAAAAGGTAAGTATGTAAATATCAAAAGCATTGGATTTTCAAAATTAGCAAAAATATTCATCATTAGTTAGTCTTGTAAATACCCCAATGCAAAAAAAAACCTTCCAACAAAAATAAGTCCTTTGTGCTATGTTTATTTAACTTAATTTTACGAAAATTCCAATTAAATTACTCGTTAGTATTTGTCCAACTGATGCGACTCAATGAAATCATTTGGCAGAATTCGACGCCAACGCTGAACATCAAATAACTATATATAATATATTTTTATTTGAGTTATTAAAAAAATTAAACACCAAAAAGTTGCCAATATCCGCGACTTAACTAAAATTTTCCGAATTTTATTGCTCCTTTGTTTTTTTAAACTCTACAGTTCACTTTAGATCAATTCAAAATGGTCATTACCGATTCAGTTATCGAAGGAGCCCAAAGCCAATACATTGTTTTTTAAACATCTGCTATAAAATTAATGTTTTTTTTTTACTTTAAACTCGAGAGAGTGCAAAAATTACATACATTTTAATACGCTTATTGCACATTTGATAACTACTCCATAACAAAATATTCTAATTAAAAATAAATTAAACTGTTTAGAACACATTTATTTATATTTATAAAAAAAATAATGCCCATGATTTTAATAATATTTTCCTCTCGCGTTGTAGATATTTATTGCCATGTAGTAAATCTTGACCACTGCTCAAGCGCTTCAAAAAATTTTGAAATTGTTATTTAATGATGTTAATGTTGGAGTTTTAATACATTAAATTAATTTACAAAATATTAACTAAAATAAAAAAAACTAATTAAACATCATTACAATTACAATACAACATAAATAATATTTATTAAATGCATGAAACAAATGTAGGGCTTAATAACGTCTTTCTGATAGCTGTGAAGGCATAAATGTTCCAGAAAATTTAGGAAATATTAAAAAAAGCAACTATTTGTGATAAAAAATTATAAGAATTCTCTAGGTACGAACGAAAAAAATACGGGGAGAATTCCTTGTTTAAAATAAAGTGTAGTTTGTTATATAAACGTTGAGTCAAAAGGAAACGAAAATATATAAGACAATAAAATATTACGGAAGCATTACTGTGTAAAACCACACTTTTTGCATTTTTTTAATTTGTTTAAAATGGGTGCACGGAATTGAGTTAGACTGAGAAAATTATTTAGAAAATTATGTCTCCTTCGTTTTTTTTTTTTTTCATAATACCTACTTACCGTTTAAAAATAAAAATATAAAATTTAGAGCAAAGCATAACGAGATAACAAAATTTATTAGATAAAAAAAATCGAATGGCCTGCCCTCAATTCTTAAGGCGCTTCTTATTATTTCTAAAAAACGAACAATTTAATTAAAATTTTATTATCCAATCGTTTAATGTTTGGGGAGTTACGCTAATGCAAAAACGGGAAATATGGGTTTTATGCACGGGCATAAAAATGGTTACATTTTACTATTTTGAAGTACAAAATTTATTTTTTTCCATTTCATTACGTGAGTTTTTTTTTTAATTTATTATATTGTTCTATTTGTTTTTTAAAAAAAAATAATTTTTCCGCAGTATTTGTAGCGCGATATCTCTCTATTGGTTGACTTTTGATCCATCGTTTATATAACAAACTACTTTTTATTATAAGCAAGGAATCAACAACTTGAGTTTTTCGGATAGGTTTCGAAACACCATGTACATATAAATAAATATTTTTTCACGATCTAAGATTGTTATTTACAAAACTGCTGCTGGTTTCTTCAGAGCTTTACTGAAACTGAAGAAGCCAAGAGGATGATTGGCGAAACGTCAGCACGTTCGACTCAACAACAACCGATGCGACGCCTGTGGACGTTTCTTTGAAAAATTGTGTAAGATAATTTAAGAAATCGTTTTTAGCACTAGCGAATAAGTTTTTATTTTGAGATCCGTTAAGTAAAACATATCATCTAGATTGGACATCATCGAAAATCATTCCCTGTGCATTACACGTCGATGATTTCAGCTGCAAGCTGCCGCCATATTTCATGAACTGAAAACAGACAGTACTAGTCCTTAGCTCAAAATATTCTATGATTAATTGAAGGGAAGAAACAACTAATTTATAATATAATTACGTAATAAGATAATTATCGTCTATATAAGTTAAAAGGTATTATGTGAGAGTAATTCGTGATAGCTTTTGTCACTAAAGCGACAAATAATAAACGCGGCGTTTTAATTCATTTACCACAGCAGGTGAAAATAAGCAATAAACCTTTTGGATCATTTGTACCCTTGGTAAATATCCCAACACGTGATTCCGGAATAAACCAATTATTGTTTGTTATAAGAGGCTTGCGCGCTCTCCGACGAATTCCAAAGATTTCAAAAATGGGTGTGGGAATACAACAGTCTGTTACGCCCTGCTTTTTTGTTAAATTCTCTTGCGGCGTAACAAAGAGATATACGGTAATTAGCATTTTTATAAAAGTACGGAAATGATCGAAAAGCCTTGTCAAATATTAGTTTGTTTTGTGGCGACATTAAAATGGTGCAAATTTAACGTATGCGAATCGAATCGACGGACGCGGCTATTAATAGCTTATTAATTCTTACTATCTCCTTAACAAGTAGGTATAGCCAACTAGATGTGACCGGACCACTGATTTTCATACATACAGTGAACTCGATGTAAACTGGAATGAAAAAGACGGTTGGTAATGGGGATTGTTGTCTTTGTGTTCTTCATATTTTCGTTAAATATTTATAAAAAAAAAATTATAATAATGTAATTGCTCGACAACTTCAGAAAAAGAAAGAAAATTTATCTAAATAAGTCTTTTTGGTCGTGAAACGCTTGTATTATGTGGTTTTGATAAATATATACAAATATAGAATAATTGCCGGAGAGATGGCGACTTTCCATGTCACTGTTACTTCAACTATCTGTTTGTTACGTGTCGTATACATCGTACTCAATTTTCAGTAGAAAACCGTTGAACCATTGAAACCAGATATATTTTGTATTTCTCGGAAAAGGGAAAAAAATTATTTTCAAAATATCCGTTAACAAAAACGCCTAAAAAAAACCCAAACATGTGGAAAAATTTGCAAATCATATAAAACACCTTCTCATTCCACGTATCTGCCATTAGAATTAACGTGTACAAGGAAACGAAACCCCACTACTACCCGAACCCATCTCAGTAAAATTTGTCTCATGGCCTCGATTAGCGGAACCATACCAATTTAGTTCACTTTTTACAAATTCCAACTTATGTGTCGGACTTCGACGGACTAATCGAAACTCTACAAACTTTTAAAGTACGTAGTAGTAGTAGAAAAAGCGAAGAAATCTAAAATTGCACTTTTCCAGAAAGTTCACCAACATTTTATCATGATATAACATTCCAGTACAGAGGATATTTTCGTGAAGAAATTCTTAAAATAAAATTTGGTGATTATTCAGTTGTATTTAAACACGGTCGAGCTTAATGAGGCTCATTTCACATTCTTACAATCAAAAATTTACAAGTAACTTTGGCACAAAATATCAAATAATATCCATTCACTTTGTTTCTGCACGTTATGCATAATTGCTTTAATCGAATTTCAGATGATTAAGGAAAGATGCAATATACGAGTGCACCATAATTTAAGATGATTTTTCGCAAATAAATATTATATAACTAAATCCGATTGTCGCTCCAATTTAAATAACACGCCTCTGATAATTGTTAATTTAAATACTTCGAATAATTGGTAAAAAAATACATTAAAGGTCAAAGAATGTGAATGATATCTGTATATCTAACACACTTAATAACTTGCCTTTTAAGCATTAAATTTATATGAATTTTCTAGAACATTTAAAACATTTGTTTAACACATGTGCACTGTTGGAGAAAAGTTGCGGCGGTTACAGGCAAAAGTCAGCGCAGTGGGCGCTGGACATTAAAGATGGTTGCGAGACGCTTCTGATAAATATATACAAATATAGAAAATTGCGGGAGAGATGATCACTTTCCTTGTCACTGTAATTTCAACTATCTGTTTGTTATATGTATATATCGAAATTATTTTTCAGTAGATTTTTGTACCTCCCGAAGTTAACCTAAAACAAAAAAGAAGGAAAAATAACGGAGAAACTGATTGAATAAGAAAACTATAGATTAATGAGTTGAGAAAAAAGTAAGAATGCATAGTCATCAGCGGATGATATTTCACATGAGTTATTGACGATGGATTCTGGAAATTAACAATCCCCTTTTTATCGATATTTTAAGCGCCACCCGGCGTGTAGATAGCTATACGAATTTATTGATTTATAGTTAATGTTATTTTCACCTAATTTACATGTTGCGTCAATAAAATTCCACGCACAATTACCAGCAAGCCCTCGTATAAGGAACACAACAAGCAACAACAACAACAGCCTTTACAACAAAGGTGTGTTCGTCCAGGGCGTTTAAAAATTTCGGAAATTATTAAAACGTATAGTGTCCTTTGTACGGTTTTTACATTTTTATCTGCTAGTGGGTGTATTACATTTCTACTTTTACTACTATTAATTGGAATATTAACAAAGTCGCATTAAATTAGTACCTGTTGTTGAATTAAATACAATGTTATAGCTCATTGGCGGAACATTGATAAAGTTGCTTCTCGTAATGAAAAATTTTGGTCATAAGGTAAGTTATTGTTAATAGAATACAAAGTATTGACCAATAAAAAAGACACTATAAGTGAAATTAAGTTGGTATTTCTATTTGATATCTGAAGTTTCGGCATGACCTTGCATAAATATTTCTTAAATAAAATCTCAAGATTAAGGAAACATATCAGCCTTGTAGTTCTAACGAAAAAATCGAAGAAAAACCGTATCACTTTTCCTTTTAGTTTCAAAATTTCCAATTTAGCAACCGCAGTAAACAACAGATAAATCACATGCTGTACAACAGCTTTTAGATTACATTAATTACAATGGACGCTGACAAGAAGGGAATCCGAATTTTTCATGGCAAAAGAGGTTGTTACTGTTTAGTTTATTCAAACTACAAGTGCGACATCTATCAAGGCCTGGTCAAACTAATTCAATCTAATTCAATCAATATTCAGGACTGAATTAACGCACAACAAAAATTTGTAAATTCGAACTAAACTTTTCAAAACGTCAGACACTACTTCAAGACAACAAACATTTTAAAAATGGAGCCCCATTTATGTTTATTACCTAAATATAAAACATTCATTCTTTTAATTATACGCGCGACATCTATCAAGTCCTGGATAAATTAAATCAAACAGTGCGTAGGCAAAATCATTCAGGATTAAGGACGGTCGATTTCTACAGTACGTTTGGCTATGAATTAATAGAGAGTGCTGAATTTCTACATTATACAGTATTAGTTATATATTATTTTAAATTAATTTCAGTCCTATTTACCAATAATTATCAATCGAATAGGGAAATGCACAGTATCATGTTGACTGTTCATCGCACCGTTAAAATAATATTTGCTTTCAAATACGTTAATTAATTAACTAAAAGTTGTGGAACACGTACTATTGAACGCATGTTTTGCTCGTCAATAGTCACTCAAAAAGGATAAACAACATTTATGCACCATTTGCAATAGTAGATATTTGCAAAAATAAAAATGATATTTAAACAGGGCCTTCGCACTATGAAGAATGTTTTTATCCGCTACCGCCGAATTTTTACAGAAGTTCTTAACGTTGTAAAATTTTTATTTTACGTAGTAGTAATCGTACTGGATGTTTTTTTACAAATTTTAATGAAATTAAGGTTTTTTTTCTTATTTTGCCTATTTAGCAAAATATATTATTTTTCCCAAAATGAAAACTGCTTTCCTTTACGGAAAACTAGTTTCATATTTGTTTTGCTAAACCAGAACGAAAAATACATTTGTTTATAATAATAACCAAAAAACCGGCGTATAATCAGTCATTGTATTGAACACAGTTTAGGGTTGTAACACATATCTAATCCGTGGTCCAACGAAGCGATTCACAAGCCTTTGCCCCCCAATCCTCTTAAGGTTGGTCCCCATATGCGTTCAGCAAGAATTTTTCCTGGAAATAACAGTTTCGGTAAACGAACATTCGGAAAGTTTCGTAAATATCGGCGATAAGTTATCTATCGGTTATAGTTACCAGAAGGTCCAGCAACCAGAGCGGGTTTGGCTGGTGGTCCTCTAATGGCGGCACCCAATTCGCTAACACCGATTATGCCTCTACCATTGGTGATGCGCTCAAGTCCTAATCCATCTTAAACAATACGTTATTTTCCCCCGATATTAATAAGTTTTGATCTACTTGCGAATTCTACTACAGATATATTTAATGTAATGTATGTTTTATTTTTTCCTTTCTTTTTTTCAAAAAAATAGGAAAAAGTTATACTATTTGTATTTTTGTTTTGGTACCACATAAACACTAATACAAACTGTCTGGCGTTAAAACCCCATTTCCAACTAAGGCATATAGAAATCAATCTAAGGGTTGATTAGGGCTTTGCCCTATATGTCAACTATTCCAATATAAACTTACCTTCAATTCCGAGGCCACGAAGACGCCCCAGCCCTCTAATATCCCCAAGACCTTCCAGTCCTAGACCCAGATCTGCATGATAAATATATTTTAAAGTTACATTTTTACAAAAAAAAAAATTCTGATAGCTTTAGGATTTGGTAAATTGGTTTTTAAATGTTCGTGTTCTTGAAAAAATAGTCACAACTCATAAATAAATATTAGCAATTTTGTTAAATTAAGAAGAAAAAATGTCAATTTCCTCTATAAAACTTGTCCATTTGTATACCACTTATGTCAGTATAGGATTAATCTTAGTCAGTGATTCAAATATGAAGAATTACCTAGACCTCTGGGTCCAATCGGTCCCCTTGAAGTAACGATCCCTGATGGGCCCTTGAGAATAAGCCCATCGAGATTGGCAACGACGTATCCGAAGATAGTGAAAATGGTTGCAAAAATCTGTTGATAAATATAGAAAATATATTGTTCATAAGAAAAGTTCTCAAATGAACTTCCTAATAGTCGGAGTTTAAAAAATTGTGTTTAATTGTTTAATTATTACAGTTAAAAAGTAGGTTCCCAAATTTCCATTCTTACCAGAACCTTCATTTTGAAATATCGTGTCAATATCTGGAATCGAACTGATATCGGTTTCTACGAGCACCCCTATTATATAGTTTAATTTATCCCTTGTCAACCTTGGAAAATCATAACAGTCAACATCTACAATGTTATTTACAAATTTTGCAAAACAAAGGTGATGCAAAACAGTCGAAAGCAATATCACCCAAACCTGACTGGTAATAAATTTATTTTATATGCACACATATTAAATACATTGAATAAAAATTGCATAGACCAAAACTAGAAATATTTTATACACACCACTGTCTTCGTACTCAAAAAAATAAAACAAAAAGGAAAAGGAAAATAAATATGGTGAAAACAGATTTTCCGTGAAATATTTCCAACCATTGCATTAGAGAAATCATTTAATAATACTTTTTACAATTATCAGTGTTGAAGAATTTAAAGCTGCATTTTCCACGTTTCACTAAAAGAATTAATGAAATTATTTTATTGCATTGCATAGATAACAATATTCTTCCCAAAAAAGGGAAACAATTTTAAAGAATTTTCGTGTTTCTATCGAATAATTCCCACCACGCTACTCCAAGAAATGAAAATGAAACAGTTTTGGTTAGTTTCCTATGGCTGAGTGGTTCAAAAATGAACTTTAAAAAGTAATTTAGAAATAAAATGTTCTATAAAATGTAAAACCAATCTTACCATGACATGTTATGAAAGTGTTTAATATCCTATTTTTTATGTTTCAGTAGCTGAATATTTTATATTCATACAAATGCAAAACAATTGTATTTTTTTTGTAAAGTTACCGATATTGTGTTGTTTGTCGATTGAATTGAGTAAGTTGTTTTTCACAAAAATCATTAACATACAGTGCTATTAATATTAATTAAGATTAGTGGCTTAGAGAGCAGCTCATTATCACTGTCAAAGTAGACATAGAAAATTTGTTTCGCTTGCAGACGGAACCGAAAAACTTTTACAAATTCAAATTAAGCGCCTAGCCTACTGTCTCCGTTTCACGCAATACCGTCGTTAAATAAACTATAACGTTAATTAAGTCGACGTGCATGCACGGTACCATATAAATAACTATGGTAGGTACCGATTTCGCAAAACACAACTCAGGAATTGTCGTTATAAACGCTCGACTTGATTCACGCGGATGTGGTAAACGACCCTAATAAACAAATTTCCAAAAAATCGGGAGCACTACCTAATTAAATCTAATCATTTAACACATCAAGTTAAGTTTCCCAAATCGAAATTATTAATTAATTAATAATTATAAAACTTAAATTTTGTGTTAAAAATGTGTAGTTAATAGGCACGCAAAAAATTACTAAAAACTTACTGTAGCTAATTATAGGCGGCATTAGATCCGATTCAGTTTTTCGGCACTGATTATAGATTTTAGGAGTTTGATTTGGCATGAGCCAGGCGTGTGTTTAATAAACGCTGTCTGAGGAACTTTATCAACGTGTTGCACGCCCTTGCTACGACCATTAGTCTTTGGGTAAATTTTTGTGAAACAGTAGGAGTGAGTGAGTGATGTGCGACTAGCCTAACCTAACCTAACTAACAAATGTCATAATAACATCTTAAAGTGACACTTTGCGACTTCAATTCAATTCAATGTTGCGTTTTACAGAAAACTGTTGGGCTCGATTACCAGGATCATTCGCCCATTGCCGACTTCCGTCGAGGATCTTCGATATTCTCCAGAGAAGGAAATGTCGAGGATTTGCGGATCTTCTCTAGCAAAGGAGACTGATTTTTGAAGTTGTAAATGTCGAAGGTTTTCGGATCTTCTTCAGCGAAGGAGTTCTTTGAAGTTCTAGCTAATATACATAATGACTAAAACCAACCCAAAGACCATGAGCTAGCAAATCCAAAAGCGGTTATAAGCAGATACCACATGCATCAAGAAATCTAACCACAAGTCGTGCAACAAAATCCATACATCCAGGGTGAAAAAGTGCAGAAAAGGCACTAATAGGAGCGGGTAAGCTGGCCTCAGTGAGGGACTCATACAAAATTTGGGAGTTATTCCGGTGCAGAGCACAATCAAACAAAATATGTTCAATATCTCCCACCTCTCCACAAGCACACCGATTAGATGGTTTTACGTTTATCTTGGAACTACAATGATTACTCCTCATTCTGCACACTGTTGTAATCTCCTTTCTGGACAGCTGCAATTTATGGAACCATGGAACTGTTGGAGGATTCTTATAAGCTGCACTATAAAGCCTGCCCTTTGAACGGAACCAATCTTTCCACTTGATGGTCCAGATATGCCACATCTTTACTCTAATTATCAGGATAAATTCACTGAAAGGGGGCCTTAAATTCTGGCTTCTGAGGCTATTCTATCCACCGTTTCATTATGTCTTATCCCCGAATGGCTTGGAATCCAGCATAACGATATTTTCCGCCCAAGTCTGTGCTTCAAAATGTCAATCTTTGCTTAAACATCTAGTAGAATGTAGCTGTTGGAGGCTTCAACCGCGCTGCATTCGGAGATCTGCAGGGCACTTTTGGAATCGGAGACAATTACTGCCTGTTTAATATTATAATCTAGGGCGCAACTAATAGCTACCATTTCTGCAGAGCAAATACAAAACGCGCTATTCAACGCATGCCCGACCCTTACATTGAGAGACGGAACAAATACTCCAAAGCCAACTCTATCATCTTGTCCCTTAGAAGCATCGGTAAATATAAATGTCTCTTCCCCGGTCCACATTTTGAAACAAAATTCCCGAAACTCAGTTTCATTTAGACCCACCCCTTTCTCAAGTTTGGAATCAACAAAATTAATAGGCGTAAGCTGAGGGGCCACGCTAGAACGTCTCCACTATCAATAATATTATGATATGTGGCGGTGTACTCAAATGCCTCAACTAAGGGTAATTTCGCCTTCCTTCTAAAAAAGTTATGATTTTCTTGATAGGCAATATTTAGCCGTTGGGTAGCTAAGAAACTAGGATTATTTCTAATTCTATGGGACTTGACTAAAAACTTAGAAGCCAACATAATCCTCCTCACCTCCAAACTTGTTTCGCAAGCCTCTCCCAATAAAATATTAATTGGAGTTGATTTCATCATACCCAATGCCACTCTTAACGCCTGATATTCAATCCTATCCAGACCAGACAGGGTTGTTTTCCGCGACTTGTGACTACTTTTGAATAGGAAGTAACAAATATAATTGTGAAGATTATAGAATGTCCCCAATGCTTCAAACTCCATTTTTGGTAAATAATATAGAAGAGAGATGAAGTTGCACTTGAACGTTTAATTTTTTCGAAGCAATGACTACTCAATTGAAGGCCCAAAGAATTTTCGCGGATTCTTTCGCGGATTCTTTCGCGAAAAACCAGAAGTTTAAAAGTCGGCTGAGTATTTTCAAGTTTGTATAATTTTAAAACCTCAAAATATTCTTTGCCCTAGTAAATTTTCGTTCTGTAAAGTCACATGTTCTCAGTATGGCACCTATTGTTTATATATTTGTATAACACATTTGCTGTTTCTCTGTATCATATTGACAAGTCACTTTGACCGATGTCTTTAATATAGTTACGTAGTTCGCATGCATCACAATCAAAATTATTAATGATTAAATATGTGAATTAATTATTCGGCTATTTTTACTCAATCTTGGGAAGTAAGTAAAAAAACGCAGGGTTTAATAATGTACATTTAATAACGCATATTGGTACATTTTGTACAATAAAATAAAAACGTTTAATTACAAAAGAACTATACATATTAAATAACATAATACCAAAATCGTGGCAGTAATACTTAAGGAAAAATCACAGGTAAACTTACTAGACCGTTGCTGTGAGAAATACTGTATTTTAACTGTACATTTCAGTACCTAAAAACCAGTATTTTTCAAGCATTTTGTTTTTGGAAAATTCAAGGTCACGACTAAGTTTACTACAAAAAAACTTAATACTGTATATCGAATATTTTGCCTAGGTCGTGATTTAGTAATAACCATGTCCGCCGCCATGTCCAGATGGAAGACCATAGAGACCGTCAGCAACGATTTTTCCTGATGAACCTTTAATAATAACTGGTACTGTGACGGGTCCTCTAAGTATGCCACCTTCGTGGGCAATGGCTCCGGCGGAGACTGCAGAAAGCAAAATATATAAATACATTCGTCAAATACGTAAATAAATCTAAAAGGTACTATAATTCACCGGAAACTTTAAACCACCCCACACGAATTAGTATACATTTTAATACTATGGTGAAGTTATTTACAAAGCTTAGTGATATTTAGGTAAAGCTCAAAGTAAATGTATTCTACTAAGGACCAAATAAGAATTATTTATCTTATGTACACCCTAACGGCGCTATGCCAAAATTCTGTTGGAATTATGTTATTTGTCCCTTCCTAGTAACCATAATGTGTGACGTGTTTGCTTAAGAATTTTGGCAGCCGCTGGTGGAATCAACCCAAATAGTAAATTAAGGCGATGTTAGTACAAATATCACCCAGCCTCAGTGATTAAAGAAGTTAATAGTTTGCGTGTAAAAATGCAAACATACCATAGTACTATTGTTTTTGTTTCTCTAGTAGTGTTTACCTAGAATAAAAAATGCGCGTCGTTAAAAACTAAACTTCGTTACTATGGTATACGGCGAACAAAATACTGCAAACGCAAAATGGGGAGATTTTAAGTAGAGCAAAAAAAAAATACCTTCCTCTGCCAGTTTCAAAATTTACGTTTAGTATATTATTAAAGGGTGATATTAAAAATGAAACTCTCCAAACCACTACTTACCTCCATATCCACCATATCCGCCGTGACCACCTCCGTAACCTCCATGACCACCTCCATATCCGCCACCAAGACCGCCTCCGTGTCCACCTCCGAAACCACCTCCCAATCCGCCTCCAAGACCGGCGTCGGAACCTTCGGCAACGGTGACTGGTCCTTGTACGGCTCCTACAATGTTAGCACCTCCTTGGGTGGGTCCGATTACGCTGGCAGTTCCCTGCGATGGTCCTACGATGCTGGCCGGGCCTTGTTGAGGTCCCACAAGGTGGGTTGGTCCATTAGCGGGTCCTTGGACGTTGTTAGGTCCTTCCTGGGGTCCAACGAGGGTCTTGGGGCCCGCGGCGGGGCCAGCTACGTAGGTGGGACCTGCTCCTAAAGCGAGGAAGGTTCCTCCTCCGCAACCGCCACCACCTCCAGCTCCACCGTGGCATCCTTCACCGCCTTCTGCAAGTAAATGCAAGTAGATAACGTTTTGTATGGCAAGGTTCTGCACTTGGTTTTATTTTTTATTACAGAAATTCGTTCTTCCGCTCTAATAAGCTCAAGATTTCTGACAAGGTTGAACTAAACTCCAATTTATCAAGCGTTAATTGAAATTGTTCTTTTCCATATTTAAGATTACTATGTGGAAGCTATCAAATTCGACCTTCAGCAGTAACGATCGATTTTGATTTTTTTTTTTTAGTATTTTTTCGATTTTACGACGTTTCTGCGATAATTTTTTAAATTATTGTTGCGATATGTGAAAAAGTTTTTGATCTGGCGTAGAACCCAGCCTTGGTAGAAAGAAAGCTTCTATAAAATGACAAGTTTCGTCGTTACTCGGTCTATATGATCGTTTTGTAATAATAGGAACGGAAACTTAAGCAACTCCTTGAATAATTATTACTGGGCGTAGCATTCGATGGACGGAAACGCACATATAATCAAAATAATTGGAACAGAAACTGAAAATTGCGAAAACTACCCGTGTACCAGTGCGAATACACGCTTGCGTTTGCGCAATACATAACAATATAATGGTCGCAATTACGCTCCAATTCTACATTACATTACTTTCGATATTTTCGTTAAGTATATATATCGCGTATACGATATACTCGGTTATTATGTATTCTATATTTATCTAACAATTTGGTAAGCGGTTAATTATAATTACGCCGGCAAATTGTTGCAGTTTCACCGAATGAAGTTTAGTTTACGCCTTTGTTAAGTCCCAATGTGAGTATACACGGTGTCCCATGATTACCGGGTTAATGATTCTCGGTACTTCGCTATTGTACGGTATTTATATTAAAAATAACTCTTTGAAATACGAATTTAAATATAGTGATGGTATCTAGTACAAGTAGTAGATTTTTATTATGTTTTAATTCATTTGTCGAAAACCACGGTATGACGTGTTTTTAGGAAATTTAAAAAAAAATCTTTAGACGTCAGTCTGAAGGCTCTTTGAAAACATCACGAAATTGAAAGAAGATTTAAAAAAGTTGGTATTTTGCAAACCTAAATCGCGAATTTTTATTTAATCTGCATTACGATTATCCACGAATGCAAATTTCCCGATTAAAAATAGGGAAGTAAAATAATCAATTAATATTCACTTGGACTAAACAAAACTTGTCTAAAATCTTAATATTTTTACCCAAGGAATTTGCAGCTTAACTGTGTGCGATTAATCATGGGACATGGTATATACCATAAGTGTGTATTTACGGTATCGGCACTGAATAGTCGCCAAACACCATAAACGCCTGCTTTCTAAGTATACCGGGACCTCTGATTTCACCGGTGCTCTACCGGGTTAACGGGTAACAAATAAAACACTTCTCGCAATAAAATTGCAGTTTTCACCAAGACCGAGCGTTTTACATAAAAGCAATTTAAATTTTAAATATCTCTCTACCGTCCAGCTCGATTGTAACAATTTATCTGGCGCCGTAAAATTTATTTTTTCGACGAAACTAAAGCGTCGCGTAATGCGGTAAACTAATTAAGGAAATATGTTGAAAACTTGAGACTCTCGCACACCACCGTCTGTCGCGCAATATCGCCGCGTTCCGTAAAAATCGATTTAATTAGCGTCACTTAAACTGATTTGGAGATAGAATCGCTTAAGGTATAACATGCGTAGAAAGTGAAGCTTGCCTTTTTTTGCACGCGGCGAGATAGGGATCCGAGATCTATCGAGAAAACCGACACTATTGTTCTGTAAATTAATTAAATGCGACATTTAAAGAAACGTGAGAACGGCTTACGTCGGAATCGTATTTGTAGAAGGAGCTCTAGAATGTATACGTAACCGGTCTGTTTGTTTTCTCGAGTGAATATGATTTTCTTTAGATTTTTTCGATTTTGGAACTGTTAATATAATTCGTGTGCTTACCAAGTCCGCCATATCCGCCATGTCCGCCTCCATGTCCGCCAATTAAAGCAATACCGTGGCCACCTGGGTAGGCGGAGGCAATGCTCGCTACCGCGGCAATAATGGCAACAACCTATGGATAAGAAGTGTCATTATCATAATCTATTATTAATTGAACTGTGTCGATGGTCAAGACTTGTATCTAAAATAAAAAATCGAAATGAAACTTGACCGATTTTCATATTCGATTAGGTTTAAAATGTTACGGTATTTTTTTTCTTGGTAGAGTATACGCGTAAATACGCGAAAAGTCCAAGAATCTAAAAATTCAAATTTTTTTCGAAAAATCAACACGGAGAAAATTTTGTTGCAGCCAGTAACGAAAACATTTATTAGAAACGATTTTAATGACACTGTAGTTACAAACAAAACTAATTGGAAAAACGATCTTGAACCTATTTCTTGAGATACTTAACGGTCCATGTAAGAAAAGGGAAATGAAGAGTGGTTTACAAACTGCGGCAGGCATACATATTTTTGAAATTTTCTTGATAAAGCTTTTCAATTTTAACACACAAAACATTTAACAATGCACCTATTTTGGATCTTGGAGCGCTCTGTATCACAAGTACTTTGCATAAGACCCATATTTACATTAAACAAGAACAATTAACCTCAAGTTTGTTTTTTGTTTTCATTGCTGAATTAAAAACAATTAAAAGCAAAATGATTTCTGCAATACATGTGAGAAAAAGAATATTGGGAAATAAAATAAATTATGTACTAAATCTGCCTTACATAGCTTATGTAGGACATGTATTTCGTGAAAAATTTTGAAATTTATATTTCACTCCTCTTCACCGTACAAAAATAAGCGTTGTCACCAGTAACATGCTTTGAACATAATTTTGTCACTAAAACAATGCGTGTCGTTTGCAACAAAACGTGCAAGACACAAAACAGTTAAAGCACTCACCAGGACTTTCATGGCGGTTTTCGTATGTAAGTTGGATGACCGACCAAACTGCAAGAAGTGATGTCCATCGAGTGGCCGCCAGCCGCTTTTATACCATTCCAAGCTGAAGATTGGGGATGGGGTATCCAAATCTACACACAATAATCGCCTATGGTGGTGGCGTTTTCGAAAAAATGGATTACATATTGGGGCAGCCACTCTCCGACATATTTCGGCTCAGTTATCGCCTGTGGCGCCTCGCCTACTCCATTTTTTATTCCGTTACCATATAGCGATAGTATTATTTGTTGTTTTGCGTTGCTTAAACGTGAAAGAAAATTATGGCCGCCGATTTAATCGCGGTTCACGACGTTTCCATTTAATGTTGATTTTTCGAATTTTGGCATACGTTGGGAAACGTTAAGAAATAGTGCGAATGCGATAAACGAGCGATTTGGATCGCGGCAAATCTTGTCCGAACCGTTAATGCTTCTTTATTATTTTGGGGCACCGCATTTTTGAAGGATGTTCGTGATGATTATTTTCCAACGAGTGTTACTTAAGTTAATCGTAAACGGATGGGACCCAGTTCGTATGTTTTTTATTATTTCATCTTTGCGGAAAGTTGCTTACTCTCAAATAATTAATTGCGTGGTCATCCTAATAAAAATTAAGAAGAAAGTGTAATGTTTTGCTTTTAAGATGCTTAATTAATGAAAAATTTTGCATTGTGCGGCTCTCTAACTCCAGTAAATCAAAGAAAGTTTTGTTTGTTTTTTGTTTTGTTTTTGATATCAGAAAATTATATATATATATATATATATATATATATATATATATATATATATATATATATATATATATATATATATATATATATATATATATATATATATATATATATATATATATATATAGCTAGTTTGCCGATTACCTTCAAATTTAGCACACTTAGTAGTAATGTCCTTTTGAACTTTTAGACCAAATTTCATTTAAAATTCTTAACGCCGAAGGGCCTTAGCTGCCCACGACCTGACGAAAATATCCTCAAACTCACAATTTACGCCAAAAGCTCGTTTTGGTTAGTTAAATTTAAATTAAAAAAAAATTAAATTCAAATCGACACGATCTGACTCGTAACTCAGAGTTTCTAATCTGTGCTAGATGCTTCTGACAGTTTTTTAAGGTTAAGGTAAGAGTAAAAGTTATCATATTTATTATCTCCAGGAACCCTTTAATTTTTTTAAGGGACATATTGCAATACATATGTCGTAGCTATAGGCATATAACCATAGGTATATAATGATTTGCCAGTTTGGTCAGTTAGTGTCAGTGTTCTCTGTGTTTGGTATGTACGCATTTTAGTAACTCTGTTAGTGTAATATTTATAAAACATTGCATTTTCCAACCACTACAGACATGTAATAATAAATTGTAAGTAAATAAAATTTTTATGCCATTATTTTGTTGAATTCAAATTTTAATATTGTTACAACAGGTTCATATACTTGCATTAAGTAAAGCAAATAGGACAGAAAGAATCCGTTATAAATAAATGGTTAATATCAATTTCTGTTTTACCGTTGGTTAAGTTTGACGGTGGTGTTTATGGTAGAAAAGGTGGTCTAATTTAGTTGCGATTGGATTAAACCGGGTTAAGAAACGAAACGGGATGCTAAAAAATTAACCAAAACCCATAAAACCACTCGATGAATTACTGCCCGATGTACATGTTAAACACAACCCCGCATTTTTTTCCATTTTTCCATTATATAGCAATACATATTGTTTACACCTAACCTAAAATACATTCGGATATATATATATATATATATATATATATATATATATATATATATATATATATATATATATATATATATATATATATATATATATATATATATATATATATATATATATATATATATATATATATATATATATATAGGGTTTTTTACAGCTGTCGCTGTCTCCCTTCTCTCCACCTACGCCTCCATCCATCTCTGTCTTGCCATTCATCTACGATACCTCTTTTTACCATAGATTCATCTACTTCATCCCTCCAAGATCTTCTGGGTCTACCCCTTTTCCTTCTACCTATGGGGCTCCATTCTGTTATCTTGCGTATCCACCTATTTCTGTCCGTTCTTCTTACATGCCCATACCATATCAATCTCTTATCTTCAATCAATGTTAAGGTATCTTTCTTGATACCCATTCGCTGCCTGATCTCCTCGTTTCTTACTTTGTCTATTCTCGAAATTCTACAACTTCTCCTCCAGTATTCCATTTCAGTGGCCTGTATTTTACTTTTTTTAGTTTTCCGCGCCGTATGTCATTACGCTCTGTACTATGGTGTTAAATATATGTGATTTGGTGTGTCGAGTGATGTGTCTATCCCAAAGTATTGGATTTAGTTGTCTGATACAGTTTCGCGTCTGGCCTAGTCTACTGTTCATTTCTTCCTCTGTTGTCCCTTTTTGAGATATTATGAAACCTAAGTATTTGAAATTTTTGGTTCTCTTTATTTGATTATTTTCATCGACTTGTAGGTAGTTTTCTCCATCTTCTGTTGTTGCCAGGTATTCCGTTTTCGAGAAATTTATTTCCATTCCATTTTTTTCATATTCTTCCTTCAGTTTTCGTAACATGTAACTTAGGTCTTCTTCGTCTTGTGCGAGTACAACTTGGTCGTCCGCGAAATTTAACGTGAAAAGACAGTCGCCTCTGATTGGAATTCCCATTTGTTCACATTTTTTCTTCCATGGTTTTAGGATCTCCTCTAGAAATATTTTAAACAATATTGGTGATGTGAAGCATCCTTGTAGCAGCCCTTTTGTTGTTTTAAAGCTTTTTGAGAGTCTATCTTCGATTTTTGTAGATATTTGGTTTCCTTCAAACATTTTTTTAACGGTCTCTATTACTTTTTGTGGCAATCCGATGGTCTTCATTGCCTTCCATAGTATCCCCCTGGGTATGGTGTCGTATGCTTTTTTTAGGTCTATAAAGGCTAAGTGAACCGCTCTATTTTTAGCCATTTTCTTCTCTATCACTTGTTGTAATGTATATATGTGGTCTATACAAGATCGACCCGCCGTAAAATCTGTTTGTTCTTCTCCAACAATGCCTCCTGGGCCGGCAGCTTTATTATTCTTCATATTTTTAATGGCCATTTTTACTTCTTCTAAGCTAAGATCTATATCCTTTTGTTCGTCTGATGTTGTCTCCGAGTTTACTCCAATAAAAGTAGGTCTATCCTCTGTTAGCAGTTTTTTGTAGTATATTTCCCACATAGTATCTGGTATGTATTCTAGATGTACTTTTTCTTTCCTATTGGTTCTAAGAGATTTAATTAGACGCCAGAATTCTGAATTACGCGTTCCTCCTATATATTGTTCCACATACATATTTTTTACACCTAACCTAAAATAAATTCGGATAGATACTACACAAAAAATGCTTTGTTTTCATCTATACCTACAGGTATATATTATAAAGAAAAATAAAATTTAATATCAACACGACTGCGAGTGCATTGCGAAAATTTTGATTTTTTGAAAAACAATATCCTGACCCACAGTACTTCAATAGCACTGCAGCACCGTTTTCACAATAATGTAGCAAATTTGGATTTGTATTTTTTTTTGAATACTCCATAACTTTTTAACTATATTAGACAAATAACATTATATACCGTTTAAGGTAGATAACAATAATTTATATTATTAACTTGTTATAAAAGTTACAAGGAAAAACTATAAAATTTACAAAGTAAATGTATACATAAATTGATCGCTTAACAATAAAATATTAAAGATTACGGTATAAAGGATTTATATAAGAAAAAAATTATTGCAATGCAATCAGAATATAAATTCAGATGATACATAATTTTTAAACCTAACCTTAAACAAATTTGAATTCCTTAAAAGTGTATAGATGTAGACAATTTTTTAGTTATTTTTTAAATGATAATGATTCCATTTGGGTCAAAATTATGCCCAAACATTGGAAGGCTATCCTAAAAATTAGAATTTGGCGTCTTTACTTGCAGTGATATTAGATGATGATATTAGAATGTTTCGTTAATTTTTATTTATGTTTTTAATCTTTATATGCTCTTATTTTATACGCTTGGCGGCAAACACCACGTTTACATTTTTAAATATATATTCATAAGGACGAGGCATCGCCAGCAACGAACAAGTCGAATTGGCCAGTAACGCCATAAATATCAAGGATTTATGAAATAAATCTTATCTGGTAAATTTAACTTACCTTAAACGTCCGTTAAAATTACTATGTCAATTTCGTAACTAAATTACTTCGCTGTCGCAAACGGTAGTGTATTTGAACTTTTAAATATATTGAAAAATGATTTTTTTTAAGAATCAAAATTGACGTGCACTTCTAACTATAATATTAGTTATTGATAAACATATAAGCAAAGCATATAACCAATAATCGCTTGTTCGATGGAAAAGCATATTAAAAGTGTAAAAATACCCAAATTTCATGAGTAAGGAGAGCGCACCAAGTTAATTAACAGTTTTTTTGAATGTAGCCGCAATAAATTTTAATACAAAAAATTATACAAAGTTATTTCGTGTAGTTTTTCGATTTGCGACACTCAAACATAAATAAAAATAATATTATGGTGAATAAGGGACAGTGAGAAAATTATAGTACGTTGGGATATTTTACCCGCAAGTTGGTATTTAAAGTCACGTGAATAGTAATAATAATATTAATGATAACGATAATTAAGATAATTAGTATTTAAGAAGAAAGAAAAATACAATTAACATATCATAAAGTATAGCACAATTATCCTTAAATCAGTCTAGTCAACCAAATACGGCTTCTAAAAGGATTTTGGTAATTTGGTTAGTGAGTCAAATTAGAAAGATGTATCAGAATATAGTTTTTGACGACTGGCAGGAAACCTATTTTAGGATCAACGATGGAAGGAGTACATTTAATTCGGGTGGGTGACACTGTCTAAACAGAACGTGCTCGTAAACATCCAGAAGTACATTAACCGTGAGCGTTCCTGATATTGTGAATGAATTGAT